TTTAAAAAAAATAGGCCTTAACCGATTTTTCATGATACTACTTAGGCCATTGAGCTTTTTCAGCTTCACGTTTTAGGTTTTCTTTAAAACTATCAGTAAATATTTTCGTGCGTTTTATGCTTTCATCTACGTACGGATAAGCTTAATAAAAAAAAATATTATCATTTTCTATGTTTACGTCAACGAAATACAATATAATAGTCAATAAAATAAAAAAGATAAAACAAAAACCTTGATCTGTTAATTTCGAAACATTTCGATGTGTTTTAATTGCGAATCTGTGAAATGCTTCACTGGCTAAAAGCTTTTAAGTAGATATAGTTTATATATTGTATATCTTAATCAAACGTAAAAAAAAATAATAATAATAATTTGCATACCTTCTCCGTGATATATTTTGAAGCCCAATAATGAATTAGTCGTGAGAGCATCGTAGAAAATTTACAATTTACAGTACTGCAGTAGCAACGATTCAATTTTTTATTGGCTATGGTCACAGTATGATCATTTATCGATATTAAATCAAGATTTTTTTGTATCACCTGCTATAATCGTAATAAAAGTAAAATAGAGACGATTACCGATAATTTTTTTTATAAAAATCGGCAAATCAAGTAAATCATGCGTTGCTACCTAATAAAGAATAAATAATTCATTACGGGTAGCGGTTAAAAATTATGACGAGATATTTATAGGCGCTACTCTCCATTTTTTTTCTTTACCGTTTCTCTAACGTATTCGTTATGGTTATTCACATTTTTAATGTAATTTTACTTGCTACATTTTGTTTATTATACCCTTTAAATGTGAACTCTGAACTATTCACTGGGCAACCGAATATGGTCGTTGTAGAGTATAATGCCACGAGAACTTTTACTAGTGACCAAAATGACGTGGCCCAAATTGCTAACATTCCACTTCCACCGACGAGTGGGATAAAGGTAACTTGCTATTTATTAAATTAAATTACTTTTGCTATATTTCCATTTAATATTTATTATTATCTATTTACCTTATCTAAAGGGAAATCCCTTGTTTATTGGAAGTGACTTATGTAATAACATTCCTTCCAATCCCCCAAACAACTCATTTAAAATAGCAATATTCCGAGATAATTTTGCATGCGATGTTCAAAAGCAGATCGAAAGTATTGCAGGAATTTCAACTGGTATAATACAAGGAATACTTTTATATAGTAATAACAGTAATGGCACAATACCGAGTGATCGGCTGTCAGCAGACATTGGTGCGATCGTAATCCCTGCGTTTTACGTGAGTCAAAGTGTAGTGAGCTTTATACGAAGCGTCGGTACTGATAATTCAAACGTATTTATTGAACTATTCCCAATGCAAAAAAATATCACAACAACTTTACAAATTACTTTTATCGGGATTTTGTTCACCTTCTTGATAGCCTTCGGTATTTCACGTAAGTATCATTTATACATTACACTACTTTGATTTGTTATTATGAGAGATATATTTTTTATGTGTACCCTTATTTTTTTTATTGTAATTTATAGTTATCATTAATTATGGTTTACATCGATGTAGACGTCGTAGACTTCGATTTAACAATACTATAGCTATGACGAATTTAACCCCCACTTTCCTGGAGAAAGAAGTGGTAGAGACTTTTCCTGTTAAGAAATTCATAGAGAGTAATATTAATGAACATTCAGTAGTTAATATCGATGTGACAGATAACAATGACATACTACGGTCGAATATAAATCATAAAGACATTAAATCAACGCCACAAATCAGTGTATCTCAAGAAAAATTAACTGATGAAGAATCATCGGAAACGCAAAACATAAAATCATCATCTGCGAGTGATGAACATGTTGGAGATATAGATAAAACGCAAAACTCCTCAGTAATTACCAATGACATAGTATCTTCCGTATCGCACAATGACCAAAAGGTAGTAACATCAATGACCGTCCCTGTCGAATCAACATCTATTGAAGGAATTGAGAAAGAAATTACGTCTGATTCTTCGACAAGTATTCATACTTCGATATATAAAAAAGCGTCAGTATCACCTACAACAGAGACCACTACTGAATCTACTACAGAGCCCACTACAGAGTCTACTACTACAAAGCATGTTAATCACAATTTACAAGAATTACAGACAACATGCGCTATATGTTTAGAAGATTTTCGAGATGGGGACTTATTGAGAGTTCTTCCATGCGAACACGAATATCATACTGGATGCATAGGTAGTAAAAAAAAAAATTCTTTTTATTTTTTTTATTTATATACAGTTAAAAAAAATACCTAATAATCATTTTTGATAGATACTTGGCTTACACAAAAATCTTCAAAATGTCCTCTTTGCAAATTTGACTGTCGTCCCCCAAAAGCCATCGATGTGAACGATGGAAGTAATAATGCCAATGAAGCATCAACTTCAAATACAAATAGTGGTTTGCCAGCACCTGTGCAAGCACAGACCCCAAGGCAACGAAATAATTTAATAATATCGTTATGGAGAAGGACTTGGTATTCTATATTTCGTGGTACTATATAAATTTATCTTTAAAAAAAATTGTAATAACAAATATGTACCGATATTTTATACTGTAAAATATACTAAATAAATGTACTAATTAAATGTACTAAATGTATTCCTGCTCACATGTTTAATAAATGCAAAATTAATTAATATTAAGCTTCATTATTAGGTTATCTTTACTGACCAAAACTCGGATTATACTTTAAAAAATTTAATCTATACGATTTAAACTATACAATTTAAATGTATAATTGATTAAAATGTAAAATCATCGATGTACGTGAGTACCTCATGTGAGATAAGAGTTTACGGACATTGTTTAGGGAAAGTGTAAATTCACGTGAAGTTATTAAAATCCATCTACCCTGAGCACTGTCCGTAGATTTCTTCTAGTCTACAATGGCATTTCTATTTTGAAATTCTGTAAGACAATTCGGCAAAATATTAAGAGATCGGAAAATTTTTTCGTTTGACAAAATTCATTGGCTGAATTCTACACTTAAAAATGACGCCTCTTGAGAAAAAAAAGGCAGGCTACATCACTCCACAATTTTGCGCACTGACTATACAATCAAATTACAACAATGCGTTATCGATTATACTGTAGGTACGTATGGACATTTGGGAGTCAGAGATAGTCACTCTTCGCGTAACATAAAATTTGAGTAATGACGTTAATGCGCTATTACCGTTGTTCTAATGTATGCATACTTTGCCATAAGAACAATGATAAAGGAATATCCTTTTTTCCGTTAGAAAAAAAATGAATGGTTTGCCATAAGAGTGCTGCCAAGGGAAAGGGCTACTTTAAACTTTTTGAAAATTTTTTTGATCAACAACGACTTAATCAAAATTGATGATAATTTTTTTTTTATTTGAATTTTACAAATTTGTAGAATTCAAATAAAAAAATTATCAATTTTAATCAAGTAATTGTTGAGATATCTTTGATCAAAAAAAACTAAAGTAGCCCTTTTTTCTTGGCAGCACTCATATGGAAAATAACAACGAAAGGTAATTCTAAATCATTTTGCTTATTTTGCTAAACGTATAGCTTGATTAATCATGTTTTTTAACTAAAGGAACGAAATTATACCGATATTATGTAACATTAAATCATACGATAATGTGCGTACGTAATAATGATATCATATGCAATTGACAGTTTTTAGTTTGTATAACATTGCGTCAATATTATAAAACTTACAAGTATATACGTTTATTTATATAGTATAAGTATAAATAATAAATATGTATATTTGATATACTCTATATTACGTATATATATAATTATATATAATATTAATTAAAACTAAGGATTGTATAAATTATATCACCATGGCGATGTATCGCTACATGATCAACCAATTAGAATGCAGGATCAGGTGTAACGTGTAATCGAAGCGAAGTCGACTAAGGCAGCCGCGGCTAAGCCAGCCGATGTAACGTTGGGTCTAATTACAAACAAAGTGCTGATAATATCGATACACTAATTAAGATTTTATATTTTTATAGTCTTACGCTATATGTATTAAATTATATATATACACTGGTAATTATAAATAATGCAACACGTGATAATTTTTATAATAAAACATAGTAACTATTGAAGTTTTCACTATATAATAAAAATTTTTAGAAAAAATTTTTAAAAATAAATTTTTTTTTTTTTATAATATTTGGGGTGTAGCTCCTGCCCAGACTTTTATTAATACTTAAGTAGATTAACATATGATGGTGCCGTAAATACATACATATTATATATCAGAACTAGGACTAGGACATCAAGTACTAAGACTATTTA